AGCCAAGCATCAGCGATACCAGAAGAGGCTGTGGCTTGCGGTGGCACTGGGCCCTTATATAACGGGAGACGCCGGCGGTGTTAGTCAGGAACCTGAGGCAATGAGAGGCACAAAAATCAGAAGATGTTGTTCTTCCAAATTTGATGAGAACGATCAAATCTGGGTTCCATGAGTCATGTCTCAGGATATTTTTTCAGGATGTTGTAAATCCGTCACCCAAAATTGAATGAACCTGGACAGCTGCACAGGAACTCCCAATTGCAGACTGAATCCGGGTTGCACCAAACCATGTTCGCGTTTGAAGGTACCACCCATCTACTCATGCGGGCCCTGGTACTCGTGGCCAGGCTACTCACGTATCCGCAGCCTGTGGGGGACCCAGGATCCAAGCTGGATGATTGAAAGTTCACCAGGTTGACATCTAGGAGGAGGGGTGACCAGAGGTGTGAGATGGTGTGAGGAACCATTTTGTGAAGAGGTGTGAGCCTCATTCAAATCAACCATACGTAGGTGCTAAAGATTCGTTGTTGAGATTGCACCCGGGAAGAGACCCACATAGAACCTGAGAATTTATCTTTGGATACCTTTGGAAGACTAGCTTCCTCCACAAACCAGTGGTTTTTAGCTTCCTTTGTGCGTTTTCCCTGGGAGCAACCATCTTCTACGGCCCACTGTGTGAAGCCTACGGCCCTACGGCTTGTTGCTCGAGAACCCCCCGGGTCTCACCCGGTCTACGTTTCCTGTTCACCTGGTCCACCGAGCTGACCTCGGACGACCATGTTTTGTCTTCGGGACGACCTCACAGAAATTCAGAGTTTCAAGGGTTTGGCCAGGATGAATGGAGCAAAAACCGTTTTAACATCATGAACAAAGAACAACCACGTCTTCTACAATTGAAGCTTACATAGAAGACTTCAGGATAAATGGCTCCAGCAGAAAGGTGGCCTGTGCACGTCCCATGATGGACGAAGAGGAGCTGTGGGATTGTTGACTTTGATATTTTGTCCAGTTCAACAATCTTCAATGCGTCATTTCTTCTGAAAGGCTTGGCAACTGTCCATTCTCAAAGATGGGCACAGCCAAAATTATGGAATCTATTTTCTAGTGGAGGGGACGTTGGCTGCTTAGCTGTTTAGCACCTAAACTCAAGATGTCCATTGGGGAAACCACGTTTGACTATAAGTATATACACCTAAATATAAATCCATAGAATATACTTAAATATACTATACACACCCACTGACCAAGCGTATTCTCTCACCACCCACACTCACCCTCACATGTCGTCTCAGTATGAGGCTCCGTGCTGGCTCCCACGTGTCCAACCTGGGGCGCGAGGTCAACCCAGGCCGGCGGGAGACGAAGACCGAGGTGGAACCTCAACCTAAGAGGGACTCACCACTGGTCGTAGATGTTCGTCTTTGAAGAACATATTGTTCTATATGAAATATAGGTCTTATTTGGGAGGATACTTTTATTTTTGTTGTTGTTGTGTGTTTTCATGAATACGGATCCAACTGTCAAGACAAAGTTAGATTCCAACAGGAACCTTTAAAGCTTGGCCACAAGTGCGTAAAAAAGTGCGGGTTGAACAAACAGATGGAACCAAACAAAAGTCTATGCCCTTGATGAAGTTCTTGGCGAAGGAGGTTCATGTTGAGTTCTAAATTTGGACCTCGGACAGAGTCAGACCATTCTTTTTACAGTGGTCTCAGTATATCGATGGCTCTGGCACCCCCAAAGATGTATTTAGATGGGGGTCCATATAAACCTCCCAACTCGGGGGATTGTGTCATTTACTGTAATCGTCTCAGACTCTCAGGGTATAAATTGCTGCAAATGTTGATCTGATGGATGTTAGGAGAGCTTTGGGTTGCTCCGATGAAACAGCATTCTGAACCATAGAGGATAAACACTCTATCAATCAATCCTATACAGTAATTGAACAACTACAAGTTTACTTCCTATCCCTTTGACCCTTCCCAGTGCCACTTGGATCTCCACCCCCCCCCCTTTCTCTCCTTCTTCGGTTCCATCATCCCCCTCGTGAAGCGCGGAAAAAGGTCCCTCCGTCGCCTCTTCGCCTCGCCTCAGGGCCCTTCTCCTGGTGGGTGTTCTTTCGAGAGTTGGTGAAGTCGCCCAAGTTCGATCTCACCTTTGCCACTGGGACGAAGGGAAGGAAGGGATGGGATGCTGGGATGCTGGGATGCTTCGGGATCCGAGACCCACGACTGAAGCCTCCATCTGCGAAAGTGGGTGCAGATGGCGACGTTTGGTCGGCAAGCAGCACGAGCAGCAGATGCCTTTGGAGTGTGAGTCGTTCAAGGGATCCTTCGTGATGTTTCCCTCTACTGGAAGCAGCAGTATGGTCCACAGTACACGTTCGGCGGGCTTTCCCAACAAGTCTGATGGAGTGCATGTTGGACAACAACATTAACAACATGTGTACGTGTATACCATGTCGACCCGATGATACCGGAGTGAAGCAGAAAAAAGCAGAGCTGACGCGTAGCCTGGCCGATCGAGAGGTTGGGACATGTGAAGTCGTTGAAATGTGACGAAGGAGACACTCCCTGAAATCATGGAAGTGGAGTTCACCACATGTTTGGTATGAGGCTTTCAATGGATTTCATGGTCATCTGCACTCGGAGCCATGCCATCAACATCCATGGTCCATAATTATGTCATACCAGTTCAAGTGCGGTTAGCTTTTTGAGGTGAATGGTGAAGCAAACCCAACAGTACGTTGTTACATTTCACTGCTTCTGGGTCACCTGGAAGCTATCGGAAATTGCTGTTCAAGACAAAGAAACCTGGTCTTTGCCCACTGCCCACTGCCTAAGCGAGCCAACTGAACACATTCAACTCAGCAATAACCGAACTGTTCCAGGACCAGTGAACGGTTAGTAAAGAATTGACCACACCCTGCTTGGCTATGGGGATCAGTCATGATCACACCATGTCACATTCCAACATCTCAACCAGCAGCTCATACCAGGTGCAGTAGTTCCTCAACTGATCCACTTCCACTAAAGTCCCAAGTGTTCCACATTTTTTTCGCTTCATCCTCCGAAAGACCTAAGGCGGTGCTGATTTTCCTCAGTAGCCTGGCCACGGCCTTGGTGTCACCGGGTGGCGTGGTGGAGCGGTTCAACGGGTTTCGTCGAAGCGAAGCTTCGAGACTGGATGATATATGCAAACGGGGATGCGTGAAAGGTTGGCAATTGTAAGAACCGGATGTTTTCCACCAAAATGCCAGGCTGCCAGACTCAATCCGTGTTTGGGAAATGTTGTTTGCTCTTCTGAGTGGTCCTTGGCAGGTCTTTCAAAGCACACAGAGACATGATTTTTCTGCTTCGTCTCGCTGCTCGTGCAGAGTGGCGCCTGGGACTGCTTTTTTCCGCGGTTTTGTGAGGTCATGGCGCTGCAAGTGCAATACCATGGCTTCGATGTAGGCGAGGATCAGGGGGATTCGATTGCAGGCTTGAAGTCGACGTTTTGAGCCTTAATTTTTGTTAGATAGTCCAAATAGATGAAAACAATGTGCAACACATCTTCTTTATAATCCTTTAGAGCGAATTGACTTTCCCACAGAAGCTTCTATCAATTTTGGGTGACGATAGAATATATTTATACGATTTTATATGAAATTGTTGTTTCAGGTTGTTTGATTTTCTCGCAAAAGCTGCCAGTTATTTTGGATCATCGGGGGCATAGAATTGACCCGATGAGGCTATGAATTGATGTTTGCACAGTGACAGTTTGATTCTGTTCCACCTCCAAGCTCTCCCGCGACCGCGAGGCTATGAGTTGGGTTACTTCGGGATGTTCTACCCAGCCGAAGAGACGCTTCTTCCGCAGCCAGTGTGCGTCTCGTGCGAAGGAGGATGCACAATTACTCTTGACGATGGAAGCGAAAGCAAGCCCAAATTTCCGAGAGGGAACATTTTTTGCTGGCATCGTTACTAGGAGCAAGGACGCTACTATCAGCTCACGGCATCGCTACTAGGAACAAGGGCATCGCTATACTAACAAAAAGGCATGTGTTTTGCTTTGTATCCAGTCTTCGTGCGTTTGGCCGAGCTCTTTCCGCCCTGCGCAGTGGAAGCACGATCGGCCATCGGCGATCGGCCAAGGGTTTGGCCCAACGCAGCTCCTGTCTTCAACGGCTTGGAGCTGACCATTGGTGTTTCTGGGAAGGAGGTCTTATATAACTGGCAGATACTGGCGATTTCTTCTGAGGACTATAGACACAAAGAAAATTGTGTTGTTTTGTTTAATTGGAACGAATAGTTTCATTGCACGAAGTACAACACTGGTGCAACTGGAGTTGCACGAAGGAGTTACACATCTCTTGGAGTGCGCTTTGAGGGTTTGATCCTCCCCACCTCACCACGTGCCACGAAAGTTGAACGCTATTAGGTTGGAGGGCCATTACTACTAGGTAGCAAGAAGCTACTAGTGGCGATGCAGAGGAGAAGGGCCCCTCCCTGCGGCTTCGCTACGCGTGTTTCCACTGACGTGACCTGAGACCACACCAGAGAGAAAGTTCCGTTCAACAGCTGTTGGTGCCAGGGGGTCCATGTTGCTTTGCCCATTTTTGCACTAAACATCCCTGGTCCCTAAACGCGACGATGCGATGCTTCATGACCGTTGTATTTTCTTGGCCACTTGCGAGAGTTCGTGACCAGTCTGGTTTGTGAGTCAAGCCTTCCAAAACAACAACAGTTGAGCAGGCTGTCAGTTTGTTCATGGTACGTCCCTTTGCAAAGCATTTTTTCAACTGTTGGTTTGACATCACGATGGTTCAGAGGGCGCATACCCTTACTCTTGATGAGTACAGTACTGCACCACTTTCTGCTCTTGGAAGCGTGTCCTTGGAGAAACCAAATCCATTCACGAGTCGAGGCTTTCCTTAAATGTCCAAGTGTTCCGTTTCGCATGTCACCCAGGTTGTTTTCCTTTTCGCCTCTCGACTCTGAAAGGGGTGGGGGGTGTGGCGCTGGAGCGGAGGGTGCTGCTGTTCTGGCACGCATTCGACGCAACACCTGGAGCGAGGAATCTATGGCTTTCGACCTCAAATCACTCACATGGCGCCTTTCCGAAAGGTGTGTGCTCCATGTTTGCACGAGTTTTTGCTTTTGGGGGACGTCTAGGATTGAAAAACGTGTGGTCCCCATTTGATCTATCAAAGAAACATGTTTGGGCGCAGTTAGTTGGATGGCTTAAGACTTGCAGGCCAGTGAAAGCAGACAGTTCAGAATGACTGGGACAGTCCACGAGTGGATCACTCGTTCGGCCGCCGTGCACGGTCACCACACCATTTGTGCAGACTTAGTAGTCTCTTCTTCACAAAACCTTCATAAGTCATGCGTTTGCCTGCCGGCTTCTTGTTGTGTTTTCCGCCATCCAACTTTTGTGAAAGTGACTTCATCATGGCTCAAGCCGGTCTTGTTGCTTTTGAATATACTATAATGATTCAATGCAGGTGACTGCTTTGTTTGGCACATAGTGGCACAGCTTGATGAGGATGAGTACCGTTGCATGGTGGAAAGTGGAAAAGCCATTCGGGACCTAAAGCAATCTAAAGGAGCTTCTTTCAGCTCAGCTTGGGTGCTCAAGGTTTCAGCGCCAGGCTCTTCAGTGATGAATTTTGAGAATTGCAGGATGACATGCCATTGAGGCCACCAAGTGTACAGGTGACAATCATGCCGGTCTGTGCATTTGATGAGATTCTGGAGGAAGAACTAGTTCGCAGCTGCGAGGAAAATGATGTTATCGCTATAGACAAACTGCTTCGAAGACCACAGGATACTAATGGGCCAAGTTTGTTTGTTGCAGCCGAGAACGGCCACTTGGAGGTGGTGCGACTATTGCTCGAAGCTGGAGCTGACGAAAATTCAGAAAGGACAGATGGGGCAACGGCTATGTTTCTTGCAGCAGAGGAAGGCCACTTGGAAGTGGTGCGATCGTTGCTCGAGGCTGGAGCTGACAAGGAGTCAGCGAAGATGAATGGAACAGCTGCATTGTCCAATGCAGCGGAGACAAAGGCCTTTGCAAGTTGTGGCAATGTTGCTCGAGGCTGGAGCTGACAAAGATGCATCGATGACACATGGGGCAACCGCCTTGTCTGTTGCAGCTGAGAGAGGCCAATTGGAAGTCGTCCGCCTGCTGCTCGAGGCTGGAGCTGACAAAGATGCAGCGGTGACAGATGGGACCGGGGCAACGGCCTTGTTTATTGCAGTCAAGGAAGTCCATTTTTAAATTGTGCAATTGTTGCTTGAGGCTGGAGCTGACAAGGAGTCAGCAAGGACAAATGCGGCGACAGCTTTGCTTGTTGCAGCCCAGAAAAGCAACTTGGAAGTTGTGCGATTGTTGCACGTGAAACTAGAGCTGACCCTGACCAGGTGTCGGCAAACACACAATTGTGCCGCCGCATTGTTCATTGCACGCAAGAGCGGCCACTTGGAAGCAGTGCGATTGTCGCTCGAGGCTGGAGCTGACAAAGATGCAGCAATGGCAGATGGGACAACGGCTTTGATTGTTGCAGCCCAGAAAGGTCACTTGGAAGTTATGAGATTGTTGCTGGAAGCTGGAGCTGACAAAGATTCAGAAAGGACAGATGGGGCAAGGGCTATGTTTCTTGAAGTCTGGAGCTGTTTTTTTCAGTGAACTCTACGTCGAAGCTGAAAAGATGCAGCCATGACAGATGGGGCAACGGCTTTGCTTAGTGAGCTTATTGCAGCCCAGAACGTTCACTCACAACTTCTGCATTTGTCGCTGAGGCTGACAAAGATCCAGCAACAACAATTGGTGCACTGCCCTTGATTCGTTCAGTCCAGAATGGACACATTATTCCTATACGAGATAAAGTACGCAAAATTCAAAATCAATTGTAAGTCCGTTTGTGACGCATAGCTAATTGCTTGTTTGTTAGTAGTGAAGATAATGATTTTGTGGTTGATCATGGTCGATCCAAGTACGGTGGACCATGGCTTGCTTTTGTGGGTGACCCGCAGGGGTAGACCTTGTGAGGGTGAGCAATGCTTTCGTTGGATTTTTGCGGAGTTTTGTTGGTTCGAAACTTCTCAGGTTCCATCGAAAATTGAGGAGGTCAGCAAGTCTGCAGGTCCACCTCCAATCCCTATGGTGTGGACGGTGCTCAAGCACCTGCATGCTGCATGACTTCACGCATATCATGTCTTGCCAGAACAGTGGCTAACATGATGTCGGTCAACTGCCAGTGCCTACCTCCAAAACAGTCAGCTACTCAGTAAGGAGTTTGCAGGTAGGAGGTAGGAGTAGGAGGTGGGAGTACCTCCAAAATTATTACTGTAAATATGATCTATCTCCGCAGCTGGTCGTCCGCACGTGGCAGGTCGTCCGTCGTCAAGACCAGATCCCCCAAACGCCGGTCTTCCGGTCGTTCGAGACGTCTCGACGTCGGTGGGTCACGACGTCGGTGGCCCCACATGTCACCTTTTTGGTGCCAACGACCAGGTGCTAAAGGGATGCGAAAAAGGCGTGATAGGGGTGCCAACATCCACTCACTTGGGGACCTAACAACCATTCCGAATTGGAACTAACAGACTCAACGTGAACGTCACGTCACGTGACACGCATGGAATGCGCACCGTGACACTGAGGAGATCTTGGTGCGCATCCTTGCGGCTCGATGTCGCTTTTGGTGTGATCCTTGGAACGTCTTGGATCTGCCACTTGGCGGTCTAGACGGGAGGCGACCATGCTGCTCGGACGCGTCGACCATGCGACGTTGCGAGGAGCTGTGAGAGTGTTGGATTGGAGGTGATCATGTCACATCGACCCTCAAGAGTGGTTGAAAACTGGAAGCACCTGCAGACACATATATAAATATATAAGTCTATAAGTATTGATTCAATATCGTCATGTTGGATACTAGTATGACTACACATGGACTAAAGCAACAGTCTGGATGTGTTTCGTTCTCGCCCGGAAGATGTGAAAGTTCCGCACGCAGGGCCTTTGAAGCTTTCTTTTGAGCAAGGTCAGTTTGTGTACTATGTGATTGATGTCTTTGATGGGACATGCAGCTGGTGACCTTCTGGGGGGGCGCCTACACCAAGTCAATCTTTTAAAAGTCAGATTTCTTTTCCACACGGCGTCTGGCCCCCCTTCACCCAACCCTTTTCAACGGCTAAGCTTCGTGGTGGTGGCCTGGGCCGTAGACACCGTGACCGTGGCCTCCTTGCCGGTGGACCCGATGCTCCTGCGCCTGCTGCGGTTGATCAAGCTCTTCCGCCTCCTGCGGCTCATCAGGACGGATCGCGACCCGATCCTTCGGTCCTGGGAGCCAAGCCTGGGCGGGAGCCTATAGGGGTATGGCACTGACTGCAGTCTTGAAGTGCAACCTGCCTTCGGTCGCATTCAACCTGCCTCCATCGAACAGATTGCCGATGTTCAGACTCCAATGGCCCAATGGCCAAGGGGGTCGTTCTTCCACCCGACCATGCGCTTTCAGTTACCTTCCTGCGCGTGACGCCAGGAAGGTCAAGGGCTTCGACTCCCTGTACATCATGGTGCCTTGAACGCTGGCTGAAGGTTCTGTAGAAATGGAACGAAAGAAGGAAGGAGCCAGCGACTGGAGGGAAAAGGTAAGGTCTTCAGAAGAAGTCGGGCTTTGTTTGCCCAAATACATGTTGAAGCACCAGAACAATCCATCTGAAGTGATGAAGGGTAGGTGTTGCAGGTGCTACATTTGGTGTACAGGAGGATTTTATAAGCCTTGGTATGCGTTTGCGGGGTCACATGGCAGCATTAGACCTATTCACTAGCCCCATGTGCCTGCTAGTATACAAGTTCATCTATTATATGTAGGAGAGATCCGATCGCCCGCGAAACCGGAGCCGCATCCGAGATCCACCAGACCAGTCTCCCAAGTGATCGCGAGATTGCAGGGACTTTTACCACAGAATTACAGAGTACATCAGTCAAGATGGTCATTCACTGAATCATGACCTCCCCGGAAATTCGATAAAAACAGCCTTGTCGGTTTCGACAGCTGGACGAAACGAAAGACTTAGGTGACCTCCATCAAAGCCAGCTTTTCTGCCTTGCTTTGGTCCACGGTGCTGCTCTTCGCGGTGCTCACGCGCCTCGGTGTTTCAGCGGGACGTGGCGTCCCGCTGGAACCGCGCCCGCCAAAGCTGTGGTTGGCCCAGTATGGATGGTTGACAATCTTTTGGCCTGAAAAAGGGGAATTGCTCATTTTGTAGTTTATTCCCCATTTGAGAAGGTAGCAGAGGAGTTGCAGATAGTTCCTATTCAAGCCTACCCTGCAAGACCCTCATCCTGCTTCTACCCCACACTAGTCTCACAATACCAACGTTGGAGACCTCCACCCAGATTTAAAGAGGAATGACCGCTCCTAAGCAATTCAATGCTTTGGGGTTCAGGAAAGCCGTGCTTCATGTAAGCCCAGGCATTTAATTCATTCCCCAAACAGTTTACCGTTGGGGTTCTATCTTCGAAAAAAAAAGGAGCTGGCGGCCACACTGACTGGCCGCGCCCCTAAACACTGTGGCCGCGCCCCCTAGCACTTCGACGAGGCGTCCTCACGTTTGCTCACCGGCCCCGCGAAGTCGAGGGTCCCAACGAATTCGGTCACGTAGCGCACCGAGTGACGACGAGCACTGCTGAGGACCATTGCATTGATTCTCACCACGTTGGTGGATGTCTACTTGAACAGCGACAGCAACCCCTTGGAAAGACGCAGCTCAGACATACTGGCGCCAAATGGCAAGTGGGGATGATATTATAGGAATGAGAAACACTTCTGATACTTGAGAGGTATATCTACTTTAGTTATGTTCACAAATTCTCCACAACGCTTCTGTCTCTGGAGCCTCACTGCTGAGGGACGCAATCACCGTCCAGTTTTGTTCAAGAGAATCCAATTTACGGGGCGATGGGGCAATCTAATGCATCCACTGGATGCATCAACGGACTAGGGATCCTGTTGGCCTGTTGGTTAAAACCATTACATTTGATGTTTAGATCATTTGGTCGCGATTCTGGGGAACCTTCCGCGATCCCAGCCAATCGAGGTCTAGAGGGTGAAACTAGACGAAAATGTTCATGATGCAACTTGAAATCTATTGCAACTTCCCCTTTGCCAGCATCACCGCGGGTGATTTGTTGTTCTCTCTGTTCAGTTCTTTTTCCCTTCCGAAAATGTCCATCCCTCTTCCCCGTCCGAACTGGAATTGCATCACCAAAACCTGAAGGAGAACATGATGTTCATACTGAGCCATTCAACCCACAAGGGTCTTCAAACTACGAGTGATCAGTGAGTTTTGGAGCTTCAGGACTACGAGTCTTCGAGTACTATGGGACCTTTACGCGCTGCGCTTTGCAACTGGTGCTGAATGCGGGCATTCCGGTCCTCCGATTTCGCTGGTCTGAAAACCAGGTTGGGGGAAAAACCGTTCTCAGAAATGAGGAAGTCAATCTCTCCAAATGGAGCAGCTTCATCAGACGCGGGCCCACAAGGCGGTTGATTGTCCCATTGTTTGCTACAACTCCCCCGTTGGTACCTTGTTGGTTGGCTCAGCTCTCGGGAAGTGACTATACGGTGAAAACTCCACCAAGGACTGGACTGGTGCCATGGGGGTTGGTGTCCGTGCGATCATGGTGTCGCATGGTGTAGCATGATGTTTTGGACCTATAGAAACATAAGTGTTCACGAACCGTGCAGAAAAGCACCGTAAGGGGATCGATGGGGATCAAGGATCATAAAGGATCCGTTGTGCTGCGCATCAAAACTAAGGAAAAAGAGGCATGGTTCCGAGCTGGGTGTCAACCTGTCTTCCACCTGTATACGGGCTTTTTAAGACATCATTTCATCATGTCTTCCACCTTCCCTTAGGACTCTTTTGGAGTTGACCCTGGCGAATTGGGTCCCGGCCTCCCGAGTGCTGACAGCATCTTGGCGTTGGTCTATCGCGTGCGCGTTTTTCGCGAGGAAGAGGCAGAGCGCCCGAAGCAAGGACAAAGGTGATGTCTAGAGTCTAGAGTGGAACTGATGGATCCCTGTAGGAAAACCTTTGGAGCAGCGCCTGTCTCCATGTCTTTGAGCTGCGCCTGAAACCCATTTCTCAGCAGAGAAGGAAGATTTGCGGTGGGCTCCCTTTGGACTTTGTGCCGTTGGGTTGAGGGTTCAAACCGTGCCAATCACTTGCTCGTGCTTCGCACAAAAGACATGCTTTGTTTCATGTTGTTTTTTTCAGAATTTAGTGATTGCCCACAGAGAACAAGAAACGTAAAGATGTTGGGGGCGTTCGCAAGAAGCACACCAACATGAATTCACATACCTACAGTATATGTTCTCCCGTGCAAGACCTATTTGTGGGTCAAGACTCAAGACCTATTTAAAGTGTTCTTTGCCTTCTTGTTCAGGAAGACGTCAGCGAGTTCTATACCATCTTCGTGCTGATGTTTCAAGCGTCTATGGGATTCTCAGCGCCCCGGCGACCGGAGACCGACCGGTGGTGACCGGAACCGGATCTGAGGAGCTAAGATCAGTTGCGATCTGTCAACATCCCAAGAACATGCTCAAAGCCAAGGTCGAATAGAGTTCAAGTATTTTTTAAGTCATAGTCTATGGTCGCTATGATCAACAGATGTTGAAATGTTTGCTCTTCAGGACAGTTTTGGGTGATGGATTTGAGCGAACACCCACCTGCTCGGCGACTTATCAAGGCATCCAGCATGAGCCAAGAAATCACTGGACGGGACAAAACTGATGTCCCTCTTGTGCAACCCATTGGTTCCCTGTGGCTCATGGTGTTCGATGGGATTTCTGTGGGCTTAGACCATTTCCACCCAGAAATCCGGCCAAGCGCTTTGCGGTCAAAAACCACACCAGGTTAGAAGGAAGTGTCCGCTGGAGCTTGAGAAACCTTACCTGTCAGGAGCCATCAACTCATTCAATCGGACTTCGACTCCCTTTGAGACGGTAGGGACTCGACTTGTTCGGGTGGCCGGGAGACTGAAGTGGTGGGAGTCGACGCACCCGGGCGGCACGCGACTTGCGGCGGGGTCCTTGGTTGACCACAGAATGAACCAAATGGAGGTCCACCTACCAGGGGGAGTTTTGGGCTGGTTTTGAATCACAGCCATATATAGTTGGGATGATGACCCATCCGAGGTGCATGTCATTTTGCTCTTTTGCTCAGGTGGTGAAAGTCATCATGGGTGTGTTCCTGCAAAACACATTCAGCGT